AAAGCATAGTTAGTTTAATTAGTGATTTAATAAAGTTGATAATTAATTTTAAAGTATTAAATTATTATAAATTTAATGTGTAGATACTAAATTATTATTTTTAGTCTAATGATTAGCCAAATTATAAATAAAAAAATGATATGTGTTTTTAAGGAGTTATGATCTCTAATTTAAAACTGTTAATGTTTTTGTTTCTATTTTCAACAGAAAAATTTATGGACTCTAAAATTATTTTTAAATTAAAAAAGTCAAACCCTAATCATAAAGCACAATCAATTCCATAATGAATCAAACTATGTTTCTTCTAATTTCTTTTTTTTTTATTCTACCGTTGAATTGAATATGGATGGTGATAAATATAATTATCAATATTATTTTTATTTTATTTTATTAAATTATTAGAGGAAAAATAGGTTAGGGACGTAATTGAAAGCAATTTTAGAAAAAAATTGGTGAAAATTTTAATTTGGGGAGTGTTTTTAAAAGCAAAATTAGAAACATGGAGTTAAACTGCAAAAAGAAAAAATTCAGTAATGTGGGATGGTCTAGTTAGCAGTTCCGACGAAGCAGAGTACGTTATGTGTCAAAATATGCTGATGTCGATGCCACGCGGAAGGCCACACAATCGATTCGCGTACCCAGCAATCCGACAGCCCAGGTTCGATCACTCAAACGTGAACGGCTTGGATTTGTTCTCTCTTTAACCGCGATCGGACAGACGAGATCAATTATAATGAACGACTCAGATTCGCCCACATAATTGGCCTAAATAGACAAAGATCGGACGACTCTTTTCGCTCCACGTCGATGCGAATGGATGATCCATATTGACGCAGGATGAGTATATAAATATCGTATCACAGGAGAACCCTAACCCTAGCTGCCCTGCCCTCGCCGGAGAAGAATGACCAACCATCGGAAAAGAAGATCGACCTCTGTCCATCGCCGCACCAGAGCTACCACCACCCACCAAAAAAAGTAAAATTCTCTTATACCTGCTCGGAATTTGATTTCGAGTCTCCTTATGACCATATCAGAGCAAAAGGGGTAGTGGATGAGCCAACAATCACGGACAAAGCTTGACGGAGCTGCCGTGACCGAAACCCAAAATTTCCTCTGATGAGTCCCTTTCTATTTTACGTTTTACGTGATTTTTTGACTATTGTGTTCATCGTCTTTTTTTATGCAGGTTAGTCGAAGAAGAAACCCCAGCTGTGAAGGAAAACCAGCGGAGTCGCTACACTCGGAGAGCCCCGTTGGTAGGTTCAGTTTTTTGTGATTTTCGGCCAACCAAGGTTCCCTAATGTGTTTTTTCATAGGGACACGTGTAAAATTAGCTAGGTTGAGGCGAACTGCCACCGTGGGCGGCAGAGTCGACACCGGAGCATGGCGGCGGCGCCGTGCCGGAACCCTAAAATTGACCGGAAAGGATTTTCGACACCCATTTGGGATTTTGGGGGTATATTTTTAGTTGTGTGACGAGTATTTTAGATCTCTGCAAGAAAAATCAGAAAACTCGGGATCCGTTAGGAGGCGTAGCAGATAGTGCGACGTCTCGAAACACCGATCTGGATAAAGATCTCTTACCCTATTCCCTGTTACGGTAAATGGAGGCTTAATAATTGATAATTGTATGTTTTATAAAAACTAAAAAAATTCTAATAATAATTACATATCACTAGTGGAGCTGTAAAACTGGTTAGTGTACGATTATCCTAAACTCGTTTATGTGGCTATTTATTTTCCTGTATTGCCTAGATTGCTTATTGTTTCGCCATATAATTTAAATTATCATATTTAATTATTTTCTCGTTATTGATTGCTTGATTAAAATTCTTATTTGATTGACTTAGTTGAAAATAAAGACCCTGAGTATGTTTCTTGGTTATTAAGGTATGAAATTGTATTGTTTGTATAAATATCGTTTAATTAATCAGTGAATATGATATGAGAGGTTGGTATGTGCTTGGTGTTTGTTTTGTTGATGAAGGTCTTTATGTGAAAGGCTTACTAGGTATTTTGGAAAATGGCGGACAGACTCAATATATAGCGAACCTTACCGTGAACGTTACCTCAGTTGGATGAGGTTGAAAAGTTCTATACCATAAGGGTTTGAGAGATATGGTTCACTTTCATACCAGACGAGATATCGAGGCAATGGAATATTTGATGCCTATTACTGGACGGAGTATGGGGATGATCAATTAATTGATAAATTTAAATATTTAGTTCACGCGTAAGATGACATCTCTATGGACTCCCAAGGGTACCAGTAAGCAGGCAAAAAAAAAAATTGTCGTTTCTTGTTCACTTGTGCGTGAAATTGAAAAGTTGTATGAATATTGGTCTCCATAGGTTGATTTTTGGAAAAACTCGTAATGGTAGGTATGGAATAAACGATTTTCTTTATGATAAATGAATTTACTTAAATTAAGGGTTCCATTAGTTGTTTTGTAATTTTTACTAACATTTATTTTTCGTATAAATGATTAGTGTGATATTCTTATGAGTTAGTGTATCTCACCCTTTAATTAATCATTTCAGATCAAGAAGACTAGTATCCAGATCTCGATTAGCAAGATATTTAGTGGAAGTTAACCCCTAAGACATTTATTTATTTGTATTAAATTATTTATTATTTATTTTTTACGAGTCACTGTAGTAGGAACATTTTCGTAACTCCATTTGACAATTTAATTTATTATGTAAGGAATATAAACCCTAACATTATTATTCATTTCTGTATTTAAATTACAAATTTATTCAATTTAAGTTCCGGACCTTCGTAATAAATAAAATATATTGGTGTAGAAAATTAACCAAACAAATAAAAATAAAAAAGTGGGCAAAATGTTACTGCCACAAGCACTTTTTATTTGCATGTTCCTTGAATTATATGTCTAATGTTATATAATAAAGTTCTAATTTTATGATTTATGAGACTTACCTTTTTTATTGCAGGCTTCATCTTCTTACTTTCCTCCCTTCTCTTCTCTATTCCTATGTTCTTTGGGATTTTTCTAACTAAGAAGAGTGTTGGTGGCTATATATACATATATATATATATATATATATATATATTGGGAAAGCCCAAATCTTTTATCTTTATTTATAATTAAATTCTTGATTCATTGTAAAACAATATAGAACTAGATTTTACATTATAATTGAGTATACTTGATTAATTGGTACATATGATTAATATGTCCCAAACTTTTTTTTTTTTAACTTACCAGGTAAAAATAATTTAATATTAAATCATTATATTGCTGAAATTATGAAGCCTCTCAAACTTTACAAT